AATATTGTACGAATTTCAATGAAATTGGTTGTCAATCATCATGGTCTTAAGTTAATTTTCAATATCAACATGGAATATTATATAATACGTTTCTAATATACTTTGAATGTCAAGAGCTTCAGTTCAATGAGAATTAAAGGTCAAATGACATAAAACGTATCGTGAAATAACCATTACTAAAAAAAAAATAGAAATACTTATGAAAATGAAAATAATTCTTTTGAGTTTAACAACAATTTCGAGGTGCAGGTAAACGTTTCTATCTTTATAATAAAGAAATTATATCTTAAAACAAATATGAAAGCTGAATGTATATTGGTAGCTTGTGTAAGTACTCAAAAACTACTTGACCGGTTTTGAGAAAATTTCAAATTGTTCTTGGATATATCAGGAAAGCTTAGAGAGTATAGTTTGAACCCTGTTTGATTTATATCAAGCGCTGTGTCCAATCTGCCATAGACGAAATATACAGCTCGGGTAAATTATTTCTGAAAGCGAGTTACACCGACGCAAATTTCCCTTGAATCGAAGTACACCAAAATCAAAATACATCTATATAGCTCTATATTTTATATTTTTTTTTCTAAAAATAGATTCTAGCTAAAAATAGATGTTGGTTTGAAGTTAATAAACTCCAGAACTACTGGACTGTTTTCAATAAAAGTTATATCAATAGAATCTTTAAGACTCGGAGGGTTTTTTACGTTATTTTTTAAATTCCTGTGAGTAACTAAAGAGTAGTTCCACATGATTTTTTTTTACTAATTTTAATGACTAGATAGTTGCCATTCGTTACATATTATATCACTATTATAATTAGAAGAAATATGGCATAAATATTATCAAGCAGTATATAATATTATTCAACCTTCTCTACTATTATGAACTTATCGTATTAAATTAATTAGAGCTATTGTTTAACGAACTATGATATCTAATCTATTTCTTCGCATTTATTATATAATTATCTAATGTGTAAATGTGTACCTATAACTTAACATGCAATATAGTTTTTGCATTTGATTTAACTATAACCTTAAAATATTAAGGTTTCGATCATATTTTGATGTTATCATAAATAATCCATACTGTTTGACTTTTTATTTCGTACATAAGTTTCTTTTTCAATAAATCGTTTAATTGTGAGTGCTTATGTTTCAATGATCACAAATGGTTTTAAAATACATGCCAAATGTCTATTTTATATATACGCGTATTATGTATATTATATGAAAGGCCATGTCTATACAACTGGGCTGTTACGACATTTAAGATTGGTTATGTACAAAACGTTGACTTGTGAGAAGGAAGTTGTGTATAAAGCTGTCGGTATACGCTTTTGTTTTGTTTTTTTGCACATACCGTAAATAAATAAAAAACGAGATCAACGATAAGAGTTGTTGGCTGTGGCAACGATTGTTGTGGACGGGCGGACGGGTAGTTACGGGTCGCGTAGGTATTAGAAAACATAATCTCGGGGGTGATACAATTTTTACCGGGGAATAATCATTCGAGCTTTTGAACTTCTCTCACATCGACCCCTCTCACACGTCTGCCCCATAGGTTTTGGTGCATGAAAAATTGACGTCTTGGCAGAACATTATAAACGGAAATTTTTCACGTAGATGTCGGGTCGAAAGTCATTTTTTCCATTCTCGCGACGGTGGCTGTCTCGCAACGACGTATATCTTACGTATCCCCTGCTCCACTTCCCCTAGGTCGTTTTTGTTGCCGACGAATAATAATAATAATAATAATAATCGTAACCCTCTTGCTTCTCTCTCGTACTACTCACGTGCGCCTCACCCCTACGATAATAACCGGATATACCTACCTACCCTCGGAATGACCTTTGCCGGTTACAAGCAGATAGCGCATGCTATATTCTCTGCGGGGATTACGCGTTGACGTTAAGTCTAAAGTATTGACTGACGGATGGATGGTGGACGCGCTATCGCCGTGGCTTACCTATAAACTTTGCTGCTGCGATTCTTGCAAAGTTTACATAACCACAAGAGTTAATCAAACATAAACCAATGGGTTTCTACTTTTCTGCTGTGTATATATATGACAGCGATGGTAGTTACCCACTGTTCAAGACGTTGAATCGCAACGAATTCGTATAAATGTACATAATATTATTGCATTGCTTTACCTACGTATAATATAAACTTAACCTTATTTGATATAGCCGAATCCCATTTTATGTACGTCCATAACATACACGTTTTTATTTGTTTTACGCATAACATATAAATAAACATGCATTATAAGATTTCATTAAGCAGTAATTTTTTTGATTTTTAATGTCATTCATTTCATCTTACTTTTTATTTGTGTTTATAAATTTGAAAAAAACTAAGTTTTAGATTTTTGAGAAGTGAAACATAGTTGTCCCAACTCCCCTAAGAAAAATATTTTCTCAAAAGATATCAACATCAACCGAATGCATATTTTACATCTTTGTAGATTTTAGATCGTTATGAGAATCTAATGGCAAGAATTTATTTGCAGTGAATTTGAACTACACTTTTTCTCTACACGTACGTGGTCTTTACATGAACTATCTCAGGTTCAATATTTGATAAATTTTTTGATTTTTTTAAATGACCATTTTAAGACTGGGAGTTGAGAATATATCGAAGTTGCCATTTAGAAGAAGCAAAAACACATACAATTAATTTGTTTCCTTAGTTTTTTGTGCAAAATTTAATGCTATAAATTATAATTATAGGCATATAATTAAAAATACAAGGTATGACGCGAATGTCTTACTCTAAAATAATCACCATGTTTATATAAAATGCGTATATGTACAAATATGTATACACATATTATCTGTACTTATTGTACTTAAATGCTATTTCATGCTAGGCGGTTCCCATAGGATTACTATAAACAAATAAACAATAATATTATACATATGATATTTTACATAATTTTGTTTTTTCTTCGTTTACAGTTTGTATGTGGAAACAATTGTTATGCGTATTATATCTACATTACATATTTCGAATTTCGAATTTCTATACATATACATTCAGAATAATCTTGTGAAATCTATACATTTACAATAATATTGTGGTCGAAGTAGAATTAACGTTAAATAAATGTCTTACACTTGGAAAGAATTTCACGGTTAGGAAATTTGATGATGTGGCCCATGAATATTGTTTGTTCTTCTTCAGCAATATTGTTTAAACCGTTTTAATGATTTGTTTCGTATAACCTGCTTCATATTAAGTCTGTATAGGTGCATAATTCCTAACCGTGAAATTCTTTCCAAGTGTAAGACATTTATTTAACGTTAATTCTACCTCGATCACAATATTATTGTAAATGTATAGGTTTCACAAGGATTCAATTTGGAACACACGAGTTAATACACTAAGTACAAGAAAAAGAATTCTGAATGTATATGTATAGAAATTCGAAATTCGAAATATGTAATGTAGATATAATACGCATAACAATTGTTTCTACATACAAACTGTAAACGAAGAAAAAATAAAATTATGTAAAATATCATATGTATAATAGTATTGTTTATTTATTTGTGCCTATACAGACTTGAAAATTGTGCATACCGATTAATACAAATATGACAACTATTGTTGTTTTATTAATTTATTATATGTATTGCAAGGAAAAAAGTAATACTTATATCTGCAGTATAATTACGTAGAAGATATTTTTTTATACGAACAATAATTCTGATAAAAATACAATACAGTCTTTTATAAATTATGTGTACCCAGTGGCGTACTAATAGAAGGAAAAATAACCCCCAACCCTCCCCAAAAAAAAATTTCTGTAAAAATGAATTTCTTATGAGATGTATTTTTTTGGTCAATAATAACCACCAATAACTCTCCCCCAACCCCCTCTAAAATGTAGTTCTGAGTACACCACTGTGTGTTTCACATCCATAGCCAATTAGTTAGTTAATGTCATACTAAAAATTCATAATATATATAAACAAGTATATTTTTATCCTTGCTGAAGCTTAATATCCTTTTATTTGTTTTATTTTTGTCTTGAGCCAAACAAACAATGTTTGTCGTTTAAAAAAAAAGATTATTCTTCCCCTCAATTGTGAAGAATATAAATAATTTTTTTTATATTAGATAGCATTTTTTTATTTAAATTAATTAATTAAAATTATCTTAAGATTGATATTGAAAACGACGTCCACCGTTTGTTTTTAATTTGTTTCGAACGACTTTGCGAATGGTTGACTTCAAAATAATAATGTTTTAACAGAGTAATACAGTAGGTAGTGAATCTGGTTATCTGAATGTGATATTCTCGTACATAGATTTATTCTCAACATACATATATTGGGATGTTAGGAGAATTGGATTCAGTTTGTAACCGAACTACCTAACAGAGGGGGCATAGTGACACAATATTTTTTTGTGTCGATTTATTTCGTACTTCACGCGTATAAAGGACCCAATAATAATTTATAAGAATATTTTATATTCTACGATACAAGGTTCATTTTTATTTTTCACAATTGGATGATACGCCAAGTCGTAAATCATACGGAAAAAAAACGATGAATTTAATATAGCCGGACTGGCTAATAAATCGCTTTCGTTATACCTACCATTGTTTTATTGTCTGTACTTCTTACGTGGCGGGTCCTGCAGGAAATCTCGATTTTTAACGGGATTCGACAGTTATTGGAGCCCTCTTTTGGTGGATGACGCTGAAAAATAAATAATGCCCAGAAAATGAGTTTGGGGCCCTATTCAGGCTTCACTGCAGGATTGGTCTGGTTCGTTTAATACCAATATATGTGGCGTGTGTACCGAGTGTATAAAGGAGGAGGGAAAATGTCTGTACGTCTCCCTGTTTATATACGACCCTCTGCCATGTACATAAGAGAACATTTAACATTCACCCCCGGTCGCCCGTCACGATTGCCGTTTTAATGAGTTTTTCATTTCATTTAATATATATATTTTTTAACGATATTATTATTATGATTACAGAATGGCGAACGAGGCTATTTGGAAGGCTTAGCGTCCCGGTACGCGGATCTGTACAACACCCATTATCGGGACATTCTGGAGTATCTGGACGAACTTAGGGCCGCCGAGTGGGCCGAATTATCTCCCCGGATCACGTTGTTAGCACCCTCGTCGCCCTCCAGATCACCATGCAACATGGCTGGAAATCCGTACTCTCATCACCTGTACGCACCCGGAAAATACTCTGTGAGTATTCAAAATAATAATTTTCATTCTATATTACATACACGTTAAAAGATTTACGTATAGGCACTAAAACCGTTGCTGGGTTTCTATAATACTCTCTATTGCTTATTTTATTCTGTACAATATGTTTAAACTCTGAATAATATTTGTGAACGACTTATATAATAACGGAATAAAGATTATATATGTGTTTCGGATTAGTGTAATACCCCCATATAAAATGTTAAAAGCCATTTTTGTCATGATCAATACCTTATATTTTATAATGTATCTGTTATGCTAGAAACAATCTAGGATTCTTCTATCTGAGTATCGGATAGGTTCATTATTATTTACTATTATACCAATATTGTTTTCCTGATTGTCGCAGTATAGTATATTGTATAAGCATATCATTCCTAAAATTAAAAATATCCGAAATTTGATTCGTATACTTTATTAGTTTAATATGATAATGGCGTATTATTTATTTTCTATTTCCGACCTGCGCATAACATATATTTAAAATGTCTGAGAGTAAAATTATCTATTAGAAAAATATTAGAGAATAATATTTTTTACGATTATACCTACCTACATATCGGTATGTATCTTATTTATTATTTAGATTTATATTTGACTTTAAAGATAAAAATTAAATGTTGTAAGTATATACTCGTAATTAAATGAACGTTCAATATTTACGAGGTATTGAGACAAAATTATGTGTCAAACCCTCGAAAATATTGTACTTTCTATCATTTTTGTGAAGGTTAATATCTCAAAAACTATAAAAAAAAATAGGTTTTCAATTGATGAGTTTTGTCTTCATAGCTCGTGGGCGCTGATATCCTCTGATATCCTCTTAAGTATAATATATTAATATTGAGAATCATTAAAAACCTATGGTAAGCAAAATATGTTGAGTTTAAGAATTTTAAAGGTAAAAAATATTTGTTTGTATTTTTCTTCGCCTTTTACGGTTGAATCGGACTGTTAGAAGTTACTCCATCGTAATTATTGTAATTGATACAGATTTGGGGGACATGATAACTATACAATAGATACCATGAATTATATGTATTTTTACATTTTGTTGTCCATGATTATTCAGTGTTATTCTGTCTTGTCATGAGCGACATGAGCTCGAATTTAATCACTGTTGCTGTACATGTTATTGAAAACACTCAATCGAATCACTAGTTTTCTCCAAAGTCGATTTTCGAATAAATGGAAAATTGTCTTAGCATGCATCTATATTATATATACGTAGATGTATCGGTAACTAGCGACCATTTCAATCAGTCGTGCTAGACTCTTTTGAGTGCAGTTGTTGTTAAGTGAGTGGGACCCTTAGGGATTAGAGAGACGTTCAAAGGAGTCGAGAAAACGGCGGCGCACGTATTGCGTGTAGGACGGGTAACATGGGGGCAGGAATGATGAGGGTGGCTCCGTCCATTCTATTCAGCGTTGATTGGGAAACTTTTGTCTGTTCCGGTGCGAAGACGCACGTACGTGTTACGAAAATCTATACTGTGGAGTTTTCGTACCTATTTATTTTTCACTGTATTAATTTAATTTAATTTTTTTATTATTATTTATTTATTTTATTATTCCGCAGCCGTCTAGCTGTCTGAGCGATCGTGAAGAAGACGAAATTTACGGTTTGACAACGGCCGAAAGAAGGTTTCCGCCGGCCGCCGCGGCGGTTAGACCACCCGTACACCTGAACACTGCCATCAGACAGCACACCGTACAACAACCGTAAGTACAGTGAACACATACCATACACATAATATATAATATATATATATATATACTATATTTATTTATATACATACGAGCATTTTACATAACTGTGCGTATTACTATTATTTTCATATATTATAGAATTCGATCTATATATTAACGTCTTGTAATATGATTCGGTATACAGTTGAAATGTCATGACGTACGCGCGAGCCAACGGTTAGGTCGCTCCTAAAGTCTATGCAAATTTATAATATACCGTTCCTGTGAGTTTGTGGGGTTGCAGGTTATAATAATATTATTAGTAATCGCGTTTATAAACTTTTTTCGTTTTGTTTTAAAATTTAATGAAGTATCTCGTTTAAAATAAACAAATATATTAATGTATATTATATTAATTTGTACACACGTCCACTTCAAATTAATACATTATAATATTTTGTTTAAGGTAACGTAAACTTTTAAGTATCTTATCTTTTTTAGTTACTCGCAATATAATAGTAAGGTACGTTTATAAAAAGTTAAAGCTACTTATAAAATATTATGTAATTACATTTTATTATTTTTAATAATTTGAATAGGTAGGTAGGTACCTAACTTATATCGAAAGAATTTGTTATGTATTTATATAGTTATTTCTTATTCATGAAATAAAGTTGCCAGTAATAAAACATAACTCATTCAAATTCAAGCAAGAGAAAGTATTATAAAAGTTGTACGATATGATATAATTACATATTTTAATTTTAATTAATATCTCGTAATATTTTCTACATAAAGGTTTTTGTTTTATAGTTAAATATTTGATAAAAATTAAAATATTTAGTACAATTAAAATTATGATTCTATGAATGATGGACAAAAAAGTTCAGAGAATCGCTTGAAACTTACATTTTACTTACAAATGTTGGTTTTAACTTATTTTTATGATGTTTTATTCCTCTTTATATATGCATATCCTATTATAGCATTATGCAGGAAATTATTATTTTTAATAAAATATAAAAATATAAACTTGTAAATACAATTCTGAAATAAGTTAAAAATATAAAATTTAAATACTGTTATTATAACTATTTTCTGGGTTTTAAGTAAATATTTGATTAAGTCTTAAATATAAAAGGAACATTCCTTAATTTCATACCTACATATTACAAATAGAAGTTTATGCCAAAATGTATTTTATTATTTAAGCTTCACTAAATAATTAATAGGTTATATGCATATATTTCCACTCACGTAGCATTAAAGTAAATTATTATAATTTGTTTTTAGTGCACCAAGTTAAATTTTCAAACAACATATTTTACATATTAAAATGTTTTGTAATCACTTTTTTTATATTTTCTCAAGCAGTTCTCGTACTGTTTATTTATTTTAGAATTGTATTACTCAAATAATATTTTTTGGTTGATACTTTATCAGATTCTTAGCGATGAATGTATTGATCGTACAATGATGTGTTTTTTTGTGTGTCTGAAGACACTTTTTCTTGTAGAAAAATTGCTTAGATTATCAACTTTGATGAATCTAGTTGGTACTTTTTAAAGGACAAAATTGAAAATTCTCTGTACCTACTTTTAAAATAATCGGTGAGACGATGAAAAAACTGTTAACATTTTTTAACTTCCTTACATAATATTATTCAAATAATTGTTTGGTAATCTTGGTTACCAAAAAGTGTTAGGCTCTTTTCACTATAAGATCGTTTATTAATTTTTTTTAGTTTAGTTCAGCTTCACTCAGAAACGTTTATTGTATGCAATGATTCATCATTGAATTCAAATTTAACACATACATTACAATGCCAATTACTCCATGGCGAAGAATACTCAACACCTATACTGCATAGCGGTTACCTAACTTATTTTTTATGTTTGTTTTTACAATATAAGATTTCTATATTTTGTTCACAAATCATTTCACCGATTCATAAATTGAAATACTTGGTAGAGGTCTGCGCCAGCTCTGCCGGTACCTGGTTCAGGTCTCGGTGGGGACTTACCATATAAAAAACGGTGATACACGACTGCGGACGGTTCTTATCGGGGCGACCTTTTTATTGACATGATTGCGAACGATTATAGTTTATCAGCGGACCCCCGAATATTACACTATTGCGGACACATGTTGCCCAATTTATAAATAATACTTCGATAATATGGGTATGTGGAAATTCTGAGAGTGATCAGAACGTGGTAAAGAGTTAGTTTTACACAAAACGAATAAATATGGATTTAGGCGACTGCGGAAAGATGGAATTTTGAAATGGTTATGTACAAATGAAGTCTGTAGTGCAAGTATTTTGACGGCATCGGTGGCAAAAAAAGATTTAGATAGAATCAACCTAACTATTCAGAGCTATAATGATAACAAAAATCACCAAAACGTGATACAATATTTAAAAAAAATTAGTTGTCATTACAGGGGGAAAAAATATAAATTTAATTAATTTATTATTATATTGAGCTCTTGACTTTAAATGTGTATATTATATTATTATATTGAGCTCTTGTTTTTTACTTTTTTTGATTTTCAATTTTTAACTGTGTTATTAAGAACTTTTATAAAATTGATAATATTTGGGCTTGGTAGACCGCGTCGCACAACTTGGCAACGTTTCATTAAATTTCGACCGCAGTCGTGTCATTTTTCGGATGCAACATAAGTCCTTTTGTTCTATAATGATCGTCCGCAATCGTGTTGCAAAAAAGGTAAAGCGTCCGCAATCGTGTTTCACCCATAAAAAATATTTCGAATTGGTTATGGTTGGCTTGCCATATTTGATTGTAGTCTGATTCGGTCAAAAATAAAATATATATGGAACTAAAATTTTGGAGCGGACTTGGGTGGGTACAAATTTTTAATTTAAGTTTCGGGCCAGTTTGGGCCAACAAATTACCCGTGCAGATTTCTAATACGCAAACTATTAGAGATTTTCTTCGACATTACTATGTTTTTTCCTATGTTTTTGTGCAAAGTGTTACCTCAAGCATATCTCTTGAATATAGTTTTCACATTTATTCATCTGTTTTGTAGCCTTAGGGACGTTGGGCCGTTTAAATTAGAACTCCAAACGCGTTTTGTCCCCAGAGCCCCATAACGCACTAACCCATGTTTTTATGTATATAAAAAAAAACAAAAACCTTACAGTAGAAACACATTATTGCTTGCATATATCATTATTGAGTTGATCATTGAACAAAAGTAAATTTATTGCCCTTTATTTGTCGAGTAAAGTCTTTCTCAAGCATAAAATACCTAACATATGAATGTGTACATGATAGTTCTTAAATATAAATGTATTTTTTAAATTATGCCCGTGTAGCTAAAAATGCAGTGAAATTCAATTTGCAGTTTAATAATAGTCACTGAAAAAATACATATTTGATTAACATACATATTTACTACATACTGTCATTATATAATATTTTATGTAATTTGAATTTATTTCCACAAATAATGAAATATTATTATTATTATTATTTTAACACATAAATAATAATTAAACTCGATAGTCATAATAATATTATGATACAATTTCAAGTATAGATTAATTTTTATAAATTTATATATTATGAATTTCACGAGCAGACAGTTTCAAGTGCTTCTATATAAAAAAAATAAACAGAACATTTTTTTTTTCTACCATACAGGTAACAACAATTTTTTTATTTCATCTTTATTAACAAACAAGAATAGGTATTTCATATCTCCAGAAGCAGCAGTATTTTATAAATTATTAAACTTTAGGGTTATTATTTATACCTACACACTTATTTTATTGCCCTTTTCTATAAGCATTATTACACATCTGTTTTCGACTTTTTCATTTAGATTTCAATTTGGTATAAGTAAGGCCATGAATAATGCATAGTTTTGTTATTGGAATGGTAAAACTATAGAAAATGATTTTCCTTTGTGAAACGCCAAATATATTCATTATAATTGTGTACCTAATGCACATTCTAAAATATTGTAATGAAGTAAAAACATTGAGTGAAAACAAATAATGAAAGTAAATAGCCCAGAAAAATATCAGCATTTTTGATGTAGTTGAGCAAATTCAATTTAAAAAAAACCTCTCCTTTGAAACTTATAGGTACGTAACGTTGGTATCTCTAAGTGTGAGTATTCCTTAATGTTTCAAATCCACGATTTATTTTTACTTTTGCAAGATTCTCATGGCACCTTAATTTAAAACGATATTGTAAAAATATAAACACTATAGTATACGTGTTGACACTCCACACACGCGTTCACGACCTGAGCACATACTCTATGTGTATATACTTTATAGAGCTCGTGAATATAGAAATATTATATTTGTATGTTGTATGCAATTTCATCGTAAATTACCGTGGTTACTTATTGCGGTGTATCAAACTGATATTTAATAAAGTTTTGTATATCGATGTAACGTAGCTTTGGCAATTTCCCTCCTCTCAGGCTATATTCCGTGTCGGCGACGAGGCACTATACAGACAAAACCAGAGTAATTCTATACATAACGACTTGACATAATATATGCAAAACATACATTTGTCTAGTAAATTTGTTCTACGAGGCGTAATAAACAGATTTAGAACATTTTGATGCAAAGTTGCGTCTGTGGTTACCAATATTATAGTGCTTTTGATACGGGATTTGCATAATGAGCGGAGTTGGTGGACACGAGGAAGTTGTGTGGGTATATGTATATGTGTATATGTGAGGAGAGTGAGAGAGAGCTGAGTGGCTAGGAGGTGGGTGGATTGTTGTATTATGGGGAGTGCCGACGCTAGTGGGCAAACACGAATTATATGGTTGATTTATTGGGGGAGTGAAGCAGGAACGTGTGCCGGCGAGCCACCGGATTACCTGGCGATAATCAAAGTCCGAGCTTCATTACTGCCTCCGACGCACCGTCTACTCCTACCCCACAGACCGTTGCAGTTAAGCCTTTTAGACACGTTCGGCAAACAGCCACACGGAAAACGTCAAAATATAAATGGTTTAAGCAATCGTGGTGTGAG